CCTGCCAGCAGAGATGGAATTTGAAACACCCCCCCATTTTGTCCTTCAAACCGCTGTAACTTGTTCAATATGGAAAACTGGCAGAAAGGATGCAACGCAAGCTGAACTTCCCTGTGTGTTCTTAAAAAGACATTGATGAGACTTGAAAATGTTCTGCCATTCAGGGATGAAAAGGTTTCCATAGAAACTGCCACGCAACATGACTTTTTGCTACAAACACGCTTAGTGCAGTACCTTAACTTCCACACGTTCATTCTGTTTTCATGGAGCGCACAACAAACCCCGTTCCCTTCCTGTTTTCCGGGTCCTCTGGCTGAGGCTGCAGCAGTGACACGTTTTGACCTGGTTGTAGAGATTTCCTTGGTTAAGCTGCAATGGAAATAAACACGCATGAAGAGGCTGTTATGATTTTGCAGGAATGACACCGTGTAGTTTAATTGCTGAACCCTGAATGTCTCCCAAGTGCACACGATGTGCACACCGTGTGCCAAGAGAACTGATATGGGGAGCAAATTAATTGCTGAAGCTTCAGGAAAGTGGGAGACTGAAAATAAGCAAGTGGAAACTATTGGCCCAGGCTCCCGGATCCCTGCAGTCTCAGAGCCAACCTATCTCAGTGTCTGCCTGCATTACCTCGGGGAGCAGTGGAGGAGTTTTAAAGCTAGCACAATCCAACAGCACTGCCCCAACTGCAGCTATTTCACAGTCACACAAGGGTTGTGTTGGAAGGGAGCTCTGGAGCTCATCCAGTCCAACCCCTGCCAAGGCAGGGCCACCAGGAGCACGTTACACAGGAACGTGGCCATGCTGGGTTTGGGATGTCTCCAGAGAGGGAGACTCCACAGGGCCCCTGGGCAGCCTGTCCTGGGCTCTGCCACCCTCACAGTAAAGAAGCTCTTCCTCGTGGTGAGGTGAAACTCACTGGGTGTTAGTTTATGGCCGTTGCTCCTCGTCCTCTCACTGGGCACCACTGGGAAGAGTCTGGCACCATCCTCCTGGCACCTGCCTTGGAGCTGTTGATGTGCATTGATGAGATCCCCTCTCAGGCTGCTCTTCTCTGCACTACACAGCCCCAGCTCCTGCAGTCTCTCCTCACAAGAGAGGTGCTCCAGATCCCTCAGGATTTGGCTACCTAACCCAAGGCTGGCCCATTGTTCAGTGGTGGGACAGTGAGCGGGGTTGGAGAGCAGGCACTGCCGCTTGGGTCACAGCTGTGGTGTGGCACCACCTCTTCCCACACATACACTCACACACTGCTGGAACAAGCGCTGACCTGGCACCCTTGGAGGCCCAGGTTATTCCCTTTCCCCATGGAGCAGCTGCTGGACTTGCTCCCTCACGCCCCACTGCCAGGGCTGGGTCCTGCACGGTGCTCTTTGGGCCAACCCTTTCCCTTCCTCGCTATCACTGGGTTTGTTCCATGAGTGGCACTATCAGTGGGGAGCACTTGCTTGGGCAGCGCTCCAAGCAGCGGGTGCTTTTGCCAGTGTCAGCTCTAAAGTGTAGAATAAACAAGAACAAACCTCAATGGTTCCTGCTGGCTTCTGAGAGCATCTCCTGCTGCCATAACAACAGGGAGTTCTTCCACAGGATTCAGACAAGGCCACTGGGAGCCATCGGGGGGATGGTGAAGCTTCCACATCTCATACATGTTCCACCTCTGCCGTCACATTCTTCCTTCTCTCCTGCTCAGGGCATTGCTATGGACTGTCTCTGTCAGATGGGCATGGAATGGTGTTGCATTACAGCGAAAGCCTTGGTTAAATGGAGTGGAGCTGATGATCTGAAGGCAATGTGTGTACTTCAGACATTTCTTCTCCTTTGACATGTTCTTGATGAGCTGTTTACTGCAGATCTCACTGGAGGACGAGGCAGATGTGCAAAGTCCACACGCCTCTTTGTAAGCTCCCGTTCACACAGGGTTGGATAGGAATTCCTGCCAGTTCCAGCTCTCCTGGGTTCGCAGGCAGAGGCTCTGCATTACTGCAGCCTCCAAGAGCACCATCCAAAGCAGGCACTGTCCATCAGCGGTGCAGAAGCAGGGAAGCATCCGGCTTTTCCACAGCTCAACCCAGCAGCGTTCCTGCGCAAGCCCTGGCAACGACACCAGTTATGTTTGGCACCTCACTAACAAGGCAGGGGTTGGAGGACTTCACTCTTGGACTTGAGTGTCTGAATTCCATGGTAGCCTTGGCTTCAGACCTGCAAGTCCCTGTGGGCCAAGGTCCTTCCGTGACTCAGTGCAGAGCACATAAAGCAGGGAAAATCCCTCCCATCATGCAGGAGCACTGCAAATGTGAAATCCTCTATGGCACTTGCATTGCTTTTTCATCGTCAGGGTCCATGCAAGGGGGGACTGGACAGCAAAGCAACCCAACAGTTACCGCATTAACTGCTGTGGGAATTCATCTTCTAACCATCACTGAGAGCCCAGTGCAGGCTCCATTGACAATCCCAGCCATAGCTGGGGTGCTCTTTTAAATTACAGCAAATGGAATGGGGAGCAAGAGCTATGAGCACTGCAAACAACTCTGCACTGGCATGCAGCCTCCTGGGTTACCTGCACTCTCTGCACTCCATCCAGGACTTCTCCATCCTGGTTTCTTACCCCTTTTCCATGTTTGCTGCCAGCTCACTCCCATAATTTGTCCCCTGACAAACACTTGCTCTCCTCATCGCCATTTCTGGGTCACTTCACAGAATAAAGCCTTCGAGAGCCAGAGAGCTCCTTTTGACCACTTATAGTCACAGCCAGCGCTGCGCATGGGAGCATCTCATGAATTCTCATCTGTCTTCCCTGCCGTTGCCAAGGGCAAGGGTCAAGATAATATTTCACGGCTTAAGCGGCCTTATAAAACATTCATGGGCAAACTGCAACTTCTTCTGCTTTCCAGATCCCATTTGTATCACAGCAAGAGCATAAACACGTTAAAAACCATCTCAATCCATGGTCAAGCAATATCCTGTGAACGTGGCAACAGCTTCTAGCCCAGGGCAGGCCACAGGGGTTACTGCATGGAGGAGAGATCAATGCACTTCACAGTGCTCAAAGACTGGCAGCACCGGGGCAATGGAACATCAGCAGACAGGAACCAGAGGATACACTTGTTTTCACTGCAAACCACCTTCTTCTGGAAGGATGAAAGAACTGCCAGGGTGAATGAAATCACTGGGAAATGAATGGCCATGAATCCAAACAGGTACAGGGAAGAAGGATACAGGGTACAAGTCCAAGGCAAGCAGCTGGCTGCTCATCTTGCTCCTCTGTCACCACAGTAAAACAATGAGGGAGAGAAGGCCCTGGCAGCACCATGGACAATAATGGAAGAGCTGTCAAGCAGCTTCTTGGAAACTTGGATTACATCCATTACCAGGTTTGGTTTTAAATGAACAACAGTATCTTTACCAGCATTACAATTCTTTCTGCTAGGAAGATCTGTCAGCACCTGGAATGCTGGTTTGGTACAGCTCTAGATCTGTGTTTGCCACCTAATTATTCCTTACAGGAAGCGCTTTGGCTTTTCTCACTGCTTCAGGTATAAGCAAGATTGCCCAGAACCCATGAATGCTTGAATGCACAGCTCCTCTGGGCACCCTGTGCCAGCGCCTCAGCACCCTCACAGGGAAGAGCTTCTGCCTAAGAGCTCAGCTCAGTCTCCCCTCGGGCAGGTTCAAGCCATTCCCCTTGGCCTGTCCCTACAGGCCCTTGTCCCAAGCCCCTCTCCAGGTTTCCTGCAGCCCCTTTAGGCACTGGAGCTGCTCTCAGGTCTCCCCTTCAGGAGCCTTCTCTTCTCCAGGCTGCCCCAGCCCAGCTCTCTCAGCCTGGCTCCAGAGCAGAGCTCTTTCTCCATGGCCTTCCCTGCACTCACTCGAGCAGGTCCAGGTCCCTTTTGCATCAGGAGCCCCAGCCTTGCTTCTCACTACAAATACACTCCACAGCCTCATCTGGTTTAAATGAGTGCAGAAGCAGCAGAGTCAAGTGCAGCTCAAGCCAAAGTTGTGCTTTCCTTTACTCCTGTTTCCATTACTGTATGTGCAAGGAACTAACCTGATATTGCTGGACATGAGCTTCAACCAAGGAGCAAAGAACGGCTGCTGCAGAGCGAGACTCCTTCATCTATACATCGAGATGGGGAAAACACAGCTCAAATTGCACTTTACAAGTCAGTGACTCCCAGAGACACTTTCCCCATGTGATAACAGCTCCTGGCTGAATTCCAGCTTCCCCATTGCATTCCCAGAGACCAAAGAAAGGCCTGGCTGGAATTCCAAATGGGATTTACCTCTGAATTTGAGTGAGAACACGTGTACAGCTGCTATAGGGCTAGGAAATAGAAACAGCAAAGCCTCTCCTTCCGTGTTTCACACACACTGGTGTGAGGACTTCCACAGAGCTGAACAGTTTCCACACTGAAAGCTCTTTTCCCTTCATGCTTTAGAATCCTGCTCCTCGGCTGCATCCGTTGTTCTTTGGGCAAGCAGTGCTATTAAAATCATGCGTTTTCTTCTGCAGGCAAACCTGACGGAACAGCCCCTTTGTGTCCAACCCCCAGCAGAGTTTGGATTCAGGATCAGAAATTCCAGCGAGTCCGGTCTAGGGATTGACACCGAAACTGTTCCAGGGCACCAGGCTCAGACCTTTGAGAGCACAAAGCAGTGCTTAACAGATTGCTCCAGCTGTCTGCTCAGCACAAACCCACATCCCAGCCCTACACAAACACAGCAGAATGGCAAATCCAGTTCCACATAAGGAAAAACCCACAAATCCTTGGCTCTGGGGAGTCAAGGCGGCGGCTGAGCGCTTCCAGCAACAATCATTGCCCATAGAATGACCATATGCTAAAGAAATAACTCCAACAGCTCAATGCTGTCTCTTAAAGTTTAGATCTGTGCATACAAACTACAGGAATCTGACCAAATATTTCATGTTATAGCACACATTCAGGCAGAAAATGAAAGGAAACTCAGAATATTTCATTCTAGCCACTTATCCTCAGAACTATACTTTATATACAGTTTATTTCACTAGAGATTTAATTTTATACACAGTATAAAGGGGTATCCTGGTATCACACATATAGTTATTGACTGTACTGGTTAAGAACCAGTTGTTTGTACAGAATACAGTATTAAGTACCATATGAATTAAAACAAGTGATCTTTAAAAGAAGCCTACATATAAATGGATGTTTATCCTAGGCACAGTGCAAGAATGGTTTTTAGAGCATTGTAACCCCAACACGGGAGTCTAAAATACAACACTGGGATTTAAAACCAATTCCTAGCCAGGATGGCCTGTGCTGTAGACAAATCAATCTTGGTTTGAAGCACCAAGCAGCGTTCAAATTCCAGACAAACAGCAGCAGCTTATCATTAGGGTTTTAAAAGGAGATCTTCCACAGTAACCCGAGTTTTAAACCCCACTGGTTTATCCCTACTTCTGATCATGACAGTGTCCTAAGGAAACACAAGAATGGCCCAGATCGCATTTGGAATCATCTGCTAACTAATGCTAAGGAAATTCCACACAGGAAACCTTTCAGGATGCTCGAAGAGGTCAAGATGGAGAGGTTTATGGGCAGGATTTTAGTAACGGAGCAGAGGATTTCTCCTCTGCCAATAGGCAGAAAATACTGTCATATAAATCAGTTGTGATATTTACAGAAAACAAGTGTGGAAAAGCAAGCACTCAGCATGTAAACACGTCAGAAACGACTTCTTCATTTTCCCCTTTGCAGAGCGGGGCAGTGGATGAGGATCGGCTAATCAGAACCAGATGTCTTCCTCAGAAGAACCACTTCCCCATCACAGAATATAGGTGGCAGTCACTGAGAATTGCTAACATGGTTTCTCCCTTCCCTCCCCCCAGAGTTTCCAGTTCAATAAATAGTAGAAAAATAATCCTTTCCTTAAAAATCTTGAGCTGCATTGTCCCAGGTTCCATGCAGCAACCGGAGCAGGGAGCTTTCGACGTGCCAAAGGAACTGCAGCGAGACCAACAGCCTTCCCCTCCCCGTGCCTCTGGCTGGCACTTCTTGACTCTTCAGCTGCACAGATTCCTGCTCTTCCAGTTAAGGAAACCAAATCATCTCTGGCTCTTCCACGCTCTCTCCTCTTGGCTCAGCAGGACGGGGCTTCCAAAGCTTCAGCTGCTCTATAAACTCACGTTCCTGTTTCTGCAGGTCTGACGTTCCTCCTGCTCCATCTTACTAAATGTGATGGCAGGTCCATCCATCAAACCCATTTCCCTCCCGTTCCACAGCCAACCTTACATTTATACCAACGTAAAGCTCTGATTCCTAACAGTTTACTGGGGAAGTCAGTGAAATCATTGCTGGGGAGGAGCACAGGAACAGAGCTGCCCGTGGCTGCATGGATCATGGTTCAGGAGTGACCGCTCCTTTCCTGGCTGTCCATCAGCATTCCGCATCCACAGTGTGTACTGTGACTGCAGCCTGTAAGTGGTGGCTGTGGTGGAGAGTTGGGTGGTGCAACCGGTAGTGGTGAAACTTGTGACTCAGCAGGGCAGCTGTCTGAGGTGGGGTGTCCAGGTCCAAGTCTTCCTCGTGGTTTCCAACATCCACACCAGCCGAGAGCGGGTCGTTATTGCACGGAGGGTTTTCACTGTCCTCCTGAGGGCTCATCGTGCTGTAGCCTAGGAAAGAAACCAGCAGGACTAACAAGTTAAAACAAGAAGAGGTCAATGTTTCACCCAGAGGAGCTGGGGCTGCCCCATCCCTGGCAGTGCTCAAGGCCAGGTTGGACACAGGGGCTTGGAGCAAGCTGCTCCAGTGGAAGGTGTCCCTGTCCATGGCAGGGGTTGGAGCTGGAGGAGCTCTAAGGTCCCTTCCAACCCAAACCAGTCCTGGATCCTGTGACATTCCCCAGTGCTGGCTGCAGCACCCCTCAGGGCATCAGGCACAATCAGTGCTTTATAGAGAATAAACCAAGGGTTTTAACTAACACAAAAAGAAACAAACAAACCCATCCCCTCCTCTAAGTTCCCAACAGATCCCTTTCCCTGGCACCGTTACCAGCTTTGGGGACCTATGGTCTGTGCCACCCCAAACAGCTGTCCCTTGGCTAAAGTAGCTGCTACTGGAGTCTGAGAAGGGAAAACCCCCAAGATGAGCTGCCTGTGGCAGCAATGAGAGGCTGCACTCAGTGGGATACCCTCAGGAAATGATGCCAGCAGCCAGCTCACAGCCAACCCTCACAAGGCAGGATCCTGCTCTCTCAGCGAGGAAGCCATCTCCCAGCAGGGCCCCTGGAGATTTTCTGTTCCCTCCTTTTGAAGCAGGGGCTGGGAGTTACTCTGAGATGACCACGAGATGTGGATTTACCACTGAATCCACCCGTTACCACTCCAATGCAGCTGGCAGCACAAACCAACCCACCTCAGTGCTTCTGAGTGCAAAAACACAAGCTAGAAATGAGAAGGAGCTCGTTTGAATTCACAGCATCATCCTTCTTGGGAACCTCTGCTACAGCTGCAAACCCACCAGTGCTCCTGAGCACCTCGCTCAGGTTTCCAGCCTGAGACCCCTCAAAGCAGCACGTTAGAAATATCCTGCTGAGGAGCCAAAGCTGGTTCTCATTTCCCATGCTCTGAGTCCTGGTTTCAAGCTGGCAGAGAGGCCCTGAGGAAGACGACTCGGCAGCCCTTGGGAGAAGATGGAATTACAGGAACTAAAATTAGAAGGGCACATTTCAGGAATAGGTGGGCAGTTCCCTGCTGACCCTGATGTGGTGACTCCAGAGGTGGCAAGGATTTGCTAGGATACAAGTAATGGAGCAAAAGGAGCATGAGCCTAACAAATCTGCCTCCACACCGGTCATCTGGCCCCAAATCCAGGGCAATTCCTCCTAGAGCAAGACTGTCTCTCACACATCTGTTCATCCCCATTCCAAAGCTTTGGCCTTTACATTTCCTGTACCTCAGCAATTCCATTAATGCAAGCACAGTCTTAATAACTGAAGAGCTCTGCTGTAGCATACCCAGCCACAACATGCAGCTAAGAGCTGGCATCTGTCACAGGCTGCCTTGTCCAACCCTCCTCTTAATCTGTATCAAGTCTCCTGACTCAACAGCATTACACCCTTGTACCAGCTTCCAGGGTTTAAGGAGACTTGGTCTCAGGCACAAGGGACACAGCAACGCTCCCTGAACCTAAGCAGGGTTGAAGTGTGCGTGTGGCAAACACGCATGGCTGAACACCCTTCACTGCTTTGCATGTACACAGTTCATGTTGATCATTGCTTGCTTAAAGGTGATGTAAGATGTCCTCTGTGGTGATGGCATGGACTGCAATAGATGGGCAATATATATGGACTGCAATCATGTGCAATAGAAAGGCTAAGGAGGCACCTGACACAATCAGTCTCTAAATCCACCCTTATCTTACCCAGAAATGCAGGTGTCCAGCACATGTTGCTGGAGTTTTATGGAAGATGCACGTGTCATGTCAAAGAGAAGAGCAGCAGAGGTGCTGATGTGCCTGCAAGGGATTTGCCTTCTCTCTTTAAGTAGGAGATTTCCACTATCCCAGCTGAACATTTAGATTGCTAGGGCTGGTGATGGAGAATGAACGTGGCAGCTGCAGACCCTCTCTGTGGCTCTCAATTCTGGTCACCCAGTGAAGCTGCCTGAAGCCCAAATCAGACCTGGGGAGCAGGGCACTGAGCTGCTGCTGTACAAAGCCAGCACCCTCACCAGACTGTCTCATCTGCTGGAGGGTCTCAGCACTGTCCGACTGTGAAGCAATCGGGAGCAAAGGGTTTTGGGTTGGTTCTGGCAGCCTCATCTGCACCGTGCCAGACACCTGAAGGAAGGAAAGCGAGGGAGCGCAATCATTAACCTGGGGCCAGGGCAGTGCTGCGGCTCTTACCGTGGTCGCTCTCCGTCCCCGAGCGCCCCCAGTACCGGCGCCTGCGTTCCGGGCTGTGGGCATGCCGCTCCATCACCGCTGCTATGAACCGGGTGTTGCTGACTGCCAGAGAGGAACAAACACAGCGGGGTGTGAAGGGAGGGCTGGCACTGGGTTGGATCAGTGGAATCATCAGCACAGGGAGAGGCTTTCTGCAAACTCATTCTGCTCAAATACTGGTGCATAGGGGAACATTGTCAACAGACAGAGGAGGAGGAGTAAAAAGAAGTAAAAAGACTCAGTCAAACCCCTTCACCTCATCTGCTTGGATTGATAGAAGTTAGAGCATTACTGTGTCAACACTAAAGAACCTGCGGCGGCACTGAAAGCCTGCTCAGGATGAAACTAAGGAACTGGAGAAGCAGAGACTGAAGCCATGAACTCAGACACACTCATTGTTCACCCTGAGTGTTGACACAGTTTCAAAGCCTGGGTCTCACTTCAGCTCTCAGCGAGGGCCCAGAGACAAGGATGTGCTCTGTCCCTGGAGCTCTCCCAGTTCAGGTACACCAGCTCATCTTACAGCACATCAGTACCATGCTCAAAGTGCCGGTTTTACTGAATGCTGAAGGAGCACAAGCATCCCAAATCGGTGCAAGTAAGATTTACTGCCAGGCTTGGCCTCTGCTCTCCAAGGCAGAACAAAGGTGGGAGTTTTCCATACCCTGTTCTGTCACAATTCTCATTTCTCAGCTGATGAGAGCTGTTTCTGGAGGTGCTCCCGATGAGGGGCACACGGGGCAAACCTCCTTTGCACGTAATCAAATGGTCTTTTCCAAGCTAAAAAGGAGTAATTTTTCAGCACGACGCTCAGGGTGCACTGGAAGTTAAAGTCAGAACATTGTTCTGTCATTGTCTACTGCTCAGAGAGATTTGGTACTTACTGATTCCTCTGTCTTCGTGGCTGTCATCGTCTCTCTCGTCCCTATCATTTTCCAGGTTGGACATACGCACTGACATTTCTACACACCATTAAACACAGAAAAATGCAACTGTTAAAGAGAAAAATTGGGGATCATCTTACTAAGGGCTGTCACCCTGGTAGGACAGTGGAAGCACTTGGCCTGGCTGGGTGAGGAGGTGCAGTCCCCTTGAAAGGAACAGGCTTTAACCAGAGGGCTCTAACCAGACAGGGAGGTCATCAGCCCTCATCACACTTCTCACCTCGGCAGCTACAGGTATGCTTTCTCCCAAACACCCTTCTGTCTCTCACACTCCAGTGGGTCTACCTTATCTACCTGTGTGTAAATACTCCATCAACGTCACATGGACCAGAGGCACAAACACCAGTAAAGAAACCACATCCTAAAGAGCCCAAGCAGAAAGGGTGTGAAAACTGTAGCTGTCCCACAAGCTCCGCTCTTGTGCAGGAACCAGCATAGGTCATGGGTGTGCTGACAAGGGCCAGGAGGCTGTGAGGCCGGTTTCCTGTGTTAGCTCTAGGAAAAGCCTGCGTTCAGCTTCTGCACAAGAGCTGCGTGTTAAGGATTTCGGGTGCAGCAGGCCCGGCAGCACCCAGGAGAGGGCAGCAATACACAGTGACCTGGATGTGAGCAGGCTGATATAAGGGTTAGCTAAAGGGAAATGAAATGGGCTGAAGCACTGAAACAAAACCATGGAAAGAGGTTTGGGGTCTTCTTAGTTGGTTTTGTGTTGGGTTTTGTTTGCTTGGGTTTGGCTGTGTTTGGGTTTTGTTTTGTAGTTGGTTTAATTCCAAACCCTCCCATTTCTCTCTCCAGAGTTACCAGCTCACCCTGAGCAGCCAAAGGTGACATGTGCTGGTGACTCCTCCGATGGATCTGGTGCCGATACGCATACACTGCTAGGACAAGCACCATAATGCAGCCCATAATGCCTCCAGCCACCGGGCCGACTGGTGCACTCTTGATCATGTTCAGAGTGATCACCTCATCTCCTACAACAAAAGGGACAAAACAGAGGGGGGAAAAAAGCCATAAATGGTCTGTGGAAATATTTAAATGAACATCTCTGAAAATTATCCACTCACAGGATCCCAGCCTGGTTTGTGTTGGAAGGGACCTTAAAGCTCCTCCAGCTCCAACCCCTGACACGGGCAGGGACCCCTTCCACTGGAGCAGCTTGCTCCAAGCCCCTGTGTCCAACCTGGCCTTGAGCACTGCCAGGGATGGGGCAGCCACAGCTTCTCTGGGCACCCTGTGCCAGCGCCTCAGCACCCTCACAGGGAAGAGCTTCTGCCTAAGAGCTCAGCTCAGTCTCCCCTCGGGCAGGTTCAAGCCATTCCCCTTGGCCAAAGCCCTTCTCCTATTATATTTATATCCCAGATGTATACATATAGATATATATATAAAATTTCTATATATAAAAATATATGCAGACATGTTATGAGAAGCATGCTCTCACACTGAAAGCACATGTAACTGAGCACAGTTAAATGCAGCACCTATTCAGAAAGGCAGAGTTACCTATTGCTCCCAAGTCATCCACGTAGGGGCTCTTGGCTCCCACAATGCCACCGAAGCATTCCTTCTGAGGGGCACAGTAGGACTTATCCAGATGGGTCTTCCCGTCGCTGTCGACCATACACCACTCACAGTCCAACACACCAAAGCAGTCCCTGAAAGTGAAAACCAAGGCAAGGCTTCATGTACTTTAAATGTTAACACTTCTTGTTTGGCACAGCTCAGTCGATTTTAGAGTCGTGAGACAGAGGGAGGCCAAAATCATCCACGAGCCCTCCCATACATAACGTCTGGCCACCAAAACCTTGTCATTCAACTGCTCAGGTACCACCAGGGAGGTTACACAGGGAAGCTGCACCCTCAGCTTGCATCTCCCAAGTCTGTTTGCTCTCCTTTGTTTTTTTCCTCCATCACTCAGCCTGGGCAAATCCTACTTGTAACCCCTCCAGCAAGACATTCCTCAGCGTGGTGAGGTCTGACTGTGGTTCCACCCTTTCTCTGCAGTCCTTTGGAAGACAGAAGAAAGGATCTGGAAACTCTGGTCAGAGCACGAGATGTTCCAGCCATCTCAGCTCCCTGGAGACCTCTTTGGGCTAGCAAAGGAACAACCAGCCCTCAAGCTTCTCTGTGTAATGCTGCAGTGGAACAGAGAAGCAAGAAGCTAGAAATGGACAGGGAGCTGCCACCTCTGATGTGTTCCCAAGTCACCACTGCCAAAGCACGGTCTACATTCCATGAACACTTTAGCCCGCACACATCTCCAGCAGGCAGACAAACATCACAGCACTATCCATACTGCTGAAAAGGAAGAATTTGTTCTCCTTTCAACAGCAAATCTTCCATTTGCACAACCCTCAGTTCTCAGAGCCACCAAGTGGGACAGGAAGGCCATTTGGTTGCTGTTAACGGTGCCATGCAACGCAAATGGGAACCCTGGGGTCTTCTGTTTCTGCACTGGAGCATAAAGTCACCACTGGTGTGTGCTCTAAGATCTCCTTCTGCCATCAAACCATTTATAGCATTCAAAACCATAAGGAAGAGCTATTTGCACTCAGTTATTTCAAGTACACAGTGTATTTTGAGGGATGGAGAAGACCACTTTACCCGCTCTCTGTTTTCTGGTTGCACTGAGTGTTAATGCACTGTGGGAGTCCATCCTGCAGGCTGGGATCAATTGCTGTGAAAGTCATTGGCTCCTGATGAACTTCACAACTCGGATTCCTATGGCAGGGCAAAAAGCAGAGCCTTGTATTACAGAAGTAGTCAAAGCACAGTGAAAACCATCATTTTTACCTATTACACATCATCTATAGCTATCAGATCTATAGCCCGTATCCCCTCTCAGTTAGTGTGAACAAACAGGTGACTTTGGTAGTGGCCTCTGTCACAAGCTGTGCATCAGGGGAGGTTGGGCCTCACCTGCTCTCGGCGTTGGTAAGGTTGCCGGTGCATTCATTCACCTCGAGAGGGCACTCGCACGGGCACTCGCATTCGTTCTGCTCCATCCTGCAGGGAGAAAACGCCTCAGGCATCGCACCACGATGGGAACCCCGCCGTGCAGCTCTAACAGCAGCTCACCGCGGGGAAGGCTGCTCAGCCACCTTTCTCCCTCCCACAGGAACACAGCCATTGCTCTCTTCTGCGCTGGGACTGAGGATAAAGCAGTGGCAGAGCCTCCCTGCTCTCTTGGTACCCACCCCTTGACATTTCAGCCCTGGACAAGTCTCAAATCTGTCCTTACTCCCCACATCCAGCCCACGAGGAGGAGAAGCTACAGCAAAGCGAGGTAGCCTGGCACTGCTGGGTTAATGGGTGGACTCAGTCTTAAAGGTCACCTCCAACCTAAACTATTCTGAGATGCCCTTCCCAGTGCAACAAACGTGCAATGATGCTGGTGTAGTCAAAACCTCCTGCAAGCACCAGGATGCCCTCAATGGGAAAAACACATCAAGCCACATAAGATTGTGGGTATTAATATGCTGAACAAACAGCCTGATCCACAAATAACTGCTCTCAGAAACTAAATCTGTTGTGGCATTTTAACATAAAATCATGGAATGGTTTGGGTTGGAAGGGAACTCCAGAGCTCATCCAGTCCAAGCCCCTGCAATGAGCAGGGACGTCTTCAACCACATGAGGTCGCCCAGAGCACATCCAGCCTGGCTTTGAATGTCTCCAGGGATGCTTCATCCACCCCTCCCTGGGCAATCTGTGCCAGGGTTTTACCACCCTCATTGTAAAGAATTTCTTCCCCACGTATCAAGAATAAACTACCCTGTATTTTCATACACTGACAACATGGCAAAGGATGAGCAGGATGCCAACTCACTGTGTCTCTTACCATCAATGGAGGTAAAGTAACTGGTGTGTTCTCACCTCAGGTTTTCCATGCATGTTTTCATTTCACTTACAAAATAAATGTGCTTTCTATAAAGCTCAGGTCAGGAAAGAGGGAAATAGGAAATGCCTGGAGCCTCATTTCCCCCCTCCTGCTCACCTGTGGCAGTTGAGGCAGAGCCTGTCTACCATACTGCAGGCACAGAAGGCGAGGGAATCGCAGGTCTCGTTGACGATTCCCACAAAGGCGTTGGTGCCTGGAATTCGTGTCAGCCTGTACTTGGAGCAGTGACTGCCATGGACCAGGTTTGTCAGGTCACCCTAAGGAACACAACACAAGCAGTGTCAACAGCAGAGCAAGAAACTCATTGCTTTAGAGCTGAAGACTTGCCCCTTCCAAGGAAACCCACAGAGCTGAGGGAACACAAATGCATGCGAGTGCGGCCTTCACAAGTAAAACTGCCTTCACGTGAACCTGTTCATCAACCTGTTCAGTTTTGCTTCCAAGCTGCTGCTGCTGGGAGGAACAACTGCTGCAGGTGGAGAAAAATACTCTTGGCTTGTAAACCTTACAAGGACCCCAACACAAGCAGGACATGCTCAACAGAAGGACATGAAATTGTTGAAGGGCCACGAGGATGATCAGGGGCTGAAGCATCTCCCATATGAAACAGGCTGAGAAAGCTGGGGCTGTTCAGCCTGGAGAAGAGAAACTGTGTGGAGACCTCAGAGCAGCTCCCAGTGTCTGAAGGGGGCCTACAAGGATGCTGGAGAGGGACTCTTCATTAGGGACTATAGGGATAGGATAAAGGGAAATGGGTTTAAATAGGAGAGATTTAGGTTGGATGCAAGGAAGAAGTTCTTCCCTGTGACGGTGGTGAGGCAATGGACCAGGCTGCCCAAGGAAGTTGTAAATGCTCCATCCCTCCATCCCTGGCAGTGTTCAAGCCCAGGCTGGACACAGGGGCTTGGAGCAACCTGCTCCAGTGAAAGGAGTCCCTGCCCATGGCAGGGGTTGGAACTGGATGGGCTTTAAGGTCCTTTCCAACACAAACCAGGCTGGGATTCCTCATGTACAGTGCATCAGTAAATGCATGTATCTGGACACCAAACTAGAAGCTGAAGTTATCACAAACCTTTACTACCCATGTCACAGCAGGACGTGACACTGCTCAGGCTTGGAAGCCAGAGGTCAGGTCAGAGGATCCAAAGCAAAAAATCCCAACTCCTGCTGGAAATTCCTCACCTACAGCCACAGAACTGCTCCTTTTTCATGATGCTGGCTGAGGCCTTGCAGGCACCAAGCGCAGCTGGCCAACGCTCACATCCATCACCCCTTGTATGTCAACTGACTCCTCGTGCAAACACAGCCTGTGCAGGGCAGATCGCTGATGCTGGGTTTGGGGAGGGTGAACGGAGGCCAACCCACAGGGCAGGCCGGCTTCCAGCCTCGTCTGCCCATCCTGGCAAGGCTTTCCAAAAGAAACCCAACCCAACCAAAGTACATTCAAGAGCCAAAGGAGACAAAAACACACTCACCACTAAGCTGGTGTTGAATTTATAGAACCGCTGAACTGTTCTGTCACTGAAGCTGTTGCAGAGGTTTTTCTTGACAAAGTTGGGGTGGTTCAGAATGTCATTCGCTACCAGAGGCTCCTAAGGGAAAACCAGGACTTTATGCCTTTGAAATCAGACACAGACAGCGGCTTCTCTACAGCCCTCACCACCTGGGAAAGGCAGGATTAAAGCAAGAGGAAAAGGAGGCAGACCTTGTGTGTGATGTGCTGCTGCTCCACCGGTGCGTGTCCCTTGGGATCAATGAGGGTTGGGTGAGCCACAAGGTACCCTCTGTCCTCCATGATAAAGCACCTGCACACAACAAACAAAGCAGAGAGCTTCCCATTAGACCTCAACGAGATAAAACATGATCTTAAATTGACAGCCAGAGGACAATTTCTAAAGGCTTCCATTGATTGAACTTACAGGGCCATTAAACAAATTCACTGGAAAATGGCTTTCAAGAGAATATTGGGTATTTCCCTGCAGCTTTTAAATCTGTAACAGTTACAGCAAGCCCGGACCATCTGGGACTTGAAAAGGGAATGGTCCCTTCCAACCCAGACCCACCCTAGGATTCTATGACAAATGCAGCATAATGAACTTGGAAAGCTCTGACAGTTTATTAGTCTCCTATCTTACTAATTACACAGGGATTTCACACTCGCCTTTAATAACCTCCTGCTTTAGCATTCCATTTTAACAGGGACATAAATCACTCCTGTTTCACCCTCAGCCTTCCCGGCCCTTCCTCTCCCTTTTCAACTCATCCCATGAGTTTCCTATTGGGTCTCAAGGAAGCCGTGTCGGATCTGTGCCCCTATCCCGAAACCAGAGTGCTGCAAGGATTTAATCCGTGCTGGTTTGGGCATCTCCCGTTTCCATAGCTGCAGACAGCCACGCTGGGGAAGGAGATCAAGAGAATCAGTGGCTGCAGAAGGGGGACCCCAGGAGGTTAATGTGAGCACTCAGTGCTCCCCAAGAGCCCAGTGGGGTGGCAGCCTCCTGCCTGGGGCCGGGCAGCACTTTAAAGTCTGGGATTCCCATGGCAGTCTGCTCTGTAAAGCTCTGCCTACACAGAAACATGGAATGGGTTGGGATGGAAGGGGCCTCAAGGATCATTTAGCTCCAACCCCCTGCCATTGGCTCATGGAGGGAGAGAGCAGGTGGAACTTAAAGCAATCAGCTTCTCTAGATGGGACTGTGCACTTTAGGTATGCAAAGGAGTCAGGAAAACTTGTAGCTGGAAAACAGAGGGACTCCAGAGAGAAAAAGCTCAGCAGAGGTACATTAAAAACCCCCAGATGCCTGCCAGACAGTTACAAGAGTTGGCTCCTGGTACCTGTGTGCATGTGCACAGGGGCTGTAAGCATCAGCTCCAGCTACGTTAGAATGGTCTAACAAAGCATTTAACAACAGGCTTGAAATTCCTCACTTAGGGAATGAGGAAACAGAATAAAGCATCTGACCCTGTTGACTGTTAGCAGTTTTTTACTGGCAGGGGGAAGGAATGCCAAACCAGAAACCCTCATTTGTTTGGTACACCATAAAAATAGATTAAAAAATACCCAAACCAAACCAGAAAAGAACTGGAGGATGACACAAAACCACTTCCCTTCCCAAATTTCAGGTTTAAAAGCAAACAAAGAAACAACAATGCCCAAATCCCGTTATCAAGTTACTCCAGATCCAAACCAGAGTCTACCCCTGCCCCCCCATGCTTACAGAGGAGCAGTTCAGTTCCACATAGTGCTAAATAAACTCAGACTAATTCTGCCTAGTGCTGTGCTATGGAATTCTGAGAAAAATACACCAAAAGTGTATTTTAATACTCATAGTTTTAATAACTGGAGATAATACATCCTCATTACATGCTCACAGTAACTAAATAGCAGAGTGAACACAAACAGCAGAGAATGGGAAGCGTGTTCATTTAATGAAGAACCACGGGGGCTGCCCAGGATTTCAGTGATGTCTAAATGCAGTTATCTTCTGGTTTTGTAATCCTGCAGCCTCACTGCTTGGCTGATGACAGCTTGATCTTGAATAAAGTCCTCATCATCTTCATGAGAAGAACAGTCACAACTTTTAGTGGCTACCAGAGAACACACACTAAAAGGAGCAGAAGCCCAGAATAAGAGAGGTTGGGAAGTAGCTCTGGTTAAAGAAAAGGAGAAGAAAAGGAAAAGGGTTTAGGTATTTCCTGCCTGGCAGCAGTTCCTCAGCTTACCTTATTTTGTTTCCTCCGTCTTGGTTACAAACTGGTAGCAGGTCCATGAGGACTTTGTAGAAGTAGCGCAGGGTGAAGTCAATGCCCATCACTGCCACTGAATGTCCTGAAGACATCTGAGCACTGCAGAGAGAGGAGGAAAAGAGAAAACGCCCTTCATGGCCCTGTTATTAATTGATATTTAATTACTCAGCTCCCTACTTGACCTGGGACTGGCTCCCTTGCTGTATAAAGGACCAGCTCGAACCCACACCTCCATGCTGGAGCTCAGTTCACCCTCTCTGTGTTTCAGTCACTGAATCCTAGAATGGTTTGGGTTGGAAGGGACCTTAAAGCTCATCCAGCTCCAACCCCTGCCACAGGCCCAGGAACTGACCCATCTCCCCATGGGCTGTTCTCCCTCCACTCTTACATACACCCCACCACCTACACACATTTGATATTTAGCAACAGCCAGAAGGGTTAAAACTCCCCACAGACACAAGTGAATGTAGGATGCGGCTGCTGCATCTCTAGCACTCGAATCCCCACCTCCTCACTGTGGCTGTGTTCTGCACTGCTCCTCTTTGCTCAGTCCCCAGCATTGGGACCTCAGAATGAAGCTGCCATAGACCTCTTCCTAATCCCTCAAATCCCACAGTGTAGGAGTGATTATGAATTTCAGCCCCAAAACAGAGGACAACAATATTGATATGGGCAGCTTATGAAGCGGTTCTGTTATGTGCTGGTGTGCAGGAGACTGAGGCTGGACCAAATGATGAGGGAATCTCTGTCACCAGGTTTCTAACATCCAACCTCTCAACATGTGCTTCCTGCAGCACTGGGATGGCACGGCCAGACCAAGCTTCCTCTCATCCCTCAAGGATGCACAATGATCAGCTCGTCCTCAAATCCCCAGGTGGGCTGTTGTGAACTTGTGAGAGCCTTATGTTAATGGCAGAGGAGACACCTTTGACTTGCTGCTCCTTAAAATATCTACATGTTCTAAATCATTTTAGCTCTGAATCTGGGAAGGAAAATGCTGAGAAAAAGAAGATAGCGAATGGCACAGCTGGACTGCACAAAGCAGAGGCTGTTGGCAACCCCTTAGCATATAAAACCAACTCTGTTGACTGGACTGGAGCTTGTTGGCTTTTAAGGAGGCGCAGTGAAGATGCAGACAAATCTGAGTTGCAGATTTATAAATACAGATCCGAAAACCCTGCCTTTAACTTAGTTTTCACATTACCCTTTTCAGGGAGAAGGAAGGGGAACAGGATGACGGTGAAGCAGCACGGATACATCTAACTGGATATGGCAAGGCATCAAGCTACGGAGTTACTGCTCTGTCCTAACAGGGAAAAAGCCAACAGGAAAAAATTTAAGGTGATATTTGCTGTATATGCAGCCTCATTTCTTTCTCAAGACCACCAGGATCGCCCCTGCTCATCTTCCCCTTTTGCCTCAGCTTTCAAATTGCAAAAGACACAAATATTGTAAACTGTTGTGATTTCCAGCCTTAGACAAACATTTCAAAGGATTTCATGTAAAGAAACCCAAAGCATCACCAAGGACAGCATCCACATAGATTTTCAGTTACCCCCCAGTAGCTTCCGGGGACTCCCAAACACTCTTGAGATGTCCCCAATGACTCCACTTGCCCTCAGGGTCCCTTAGAAGTGCTCTCACTTAATCCCATTTGCCCCCAGCAGGGTTCTGGGTTGCCCTCAGGGGGTTCCGGTAGCCCCCAGTGGTACCCAGAGACGCTCAGGGGGTTCCCAGTTACTCCCAGTTGCTCCCAGAAAGGTTCTCAGTACATCTGGGGGTTCCCAGTTACTCCCAGTTGCCCCCAGAAAGGTTCCCTTCCCATAGCGGTGCCCACAGGGGAAGGAGGAGCAGCAGGAAAAGGGACCCTCAATCCTTCGCTGCTTATTCCTGCACCTGAGCACTGTGGGATGTAAAACCAAGAGTAAGGAGGCAGTGGGTGGAAGATTCCTGTTCGGGGATCTCGCTCGCTCCCTTCGTGCTCAGAGGAACTTTACTTGCTGTAGCAGTGCTTGTCATCCCCACTCCTGGAGAACCGAATGGGAAAGGACTTAAACCAAAGCTTGTACATCAGCGTTCACCATGTGCAAGTGCTTGAGGACATGGAACCCAGCGGAACCCCCACAGAACCCAGTGGAACTCCCAAAGAAGCTCTAAGAACCCCCATGGAACCCCATAGAACCCACATGGAACCCAGCAACAGAATGGAACCCAACAGAACCTGTTGCCTAGCAACGGGAGACTATAAATGCCCTGCAGAGCACAACTGGCCAGGGCAAGAGATGAGAGAAGCCAAGGTGCAAGGGAGGAGAAAGAGGTGGGTGCTGACCCCATCCTTCGGGTGCTTTAGGAATGACCGAGAACACCTCAATCAGCCTCACCGGAGCTGCTGCTTTGGTCAGCGCTGTGCAAGTGCCGCTGGCTCAGCCGCAGCCAAGAGCTCCGGTGCCTGAAACCCTGGGATCTGCCTTGACTCTTTTAGGGAGAACAAGGGCCTGTGGGGAGGGGACAGGGGGGAACGGCTTTAACCTGCCAGGGGGGAGACGGAGGTGAAACCTGAGGCAGAAGTTCTTCCCTGGGAGGGTGGCGGGACACCAAAACGGGTTGAACGCAGAAGCTGTGGCTGCCCCATCCCTGCACCAGGGGAAGGTGTCCCTGCCCCTTGCTTGCAACTGGAGGAGCTTTAAGGTCCCTTCCAACCCAAACCCTTCCATGATCCCCAATCCCCCAAATCACACCCAAATCACCCACTGACAGGGACTTGCTGGTACTTTCGACAGCAACGGAGGCACTGAAAAAGGTGATGCTGGGCGTATGGACCCCACGATGCAGGATGGGCACAGAACCTGGGGAAAACCATGGCATTTTCCTGGGCAGTTGGAGTTTTCCAATGCAATTTGAGGAATTCCTAGGCGATTTCAGAATTTACTGGGTTTAGTGTGCTTCCAGCACTCAGAGGCCATCCCAAGCTTGCTTCTCTATGTTCTCAGGCACCTCCAAGCTGTTCCACTCCTTTTCTGCCATCAGCAGGGGTTCAATGGTTTATTTGGATTTGTTTCTTCTAGGTGTCGTGTGTGAGAAAGAGCCCTAGTGAGCATAACAACAGCCTTCCTCTTCCTCCTCCAACAGCACCAGTGATTCCATCCACGTCTTTGGGCTGTGCTAGGTACGAAAACCCTCATGCCTGCACTCAATGAGTAGTAGGAAGGGAGGGGGATCCAGGGACCTGTGGTCGTGTCCTGCGAGGTCAGATCAGATCCACAGGGTCCATCTCCTGAAGCTTCCAAGCGCAAAGGGTGAAATGGGGGGAATTTGGGGTGGCAGTTGGTGATTTGCAGTGGTGAGGATGTGCTGAAGGCTGAGGGCCCGTCTTGGCAGAAGGACTGCAATGGTGAGCGGGTTTTCCTCTCTTCCAGGTGGGATGGACCCTGCAGACTCTGGGCTCTGCCTGATGGAAGATGTGACCAGCACTGGGCCGTGAGTGATTGGACCGCACCAGGAACACCACAAACCTTAGGGAAAGGGGCGCTGAGGGAACCACTGCTGTGGGCTCAGCGTGTGCTCGCTGCAAGTGCCACGGGCTGGGCAGGGCTGTCAGTGCCCACCAGCCACAATGACGTTGCCTCCAAACACCCGGGGCCATCGTGCTGCAATCCCAGCTTTGTTGCCGAGCCGGGCATTGGGAAAACCACTCCCAGATGCCCTTTTCCAGCCAGGGTCGTGGCCTCAGCTCTTCTTTCCCCGCTCACTCTTAGTCTCAAAGCGAAGCTCCTGCCTCTGCTCAGGGTTTGAGGACAGTGACACACCTCTTCACCTCTCGCCTTCCTCACCTCCTCTTTCTCCTTACTGCAGGCACATTAACATCGGCGCCCAGTACCAGGCAGAGATCCCAGAGCTTCGGGATCCATCCCACTTGCAGCTGGAGGAGGAGGAGGACAAAGCCTGGCTCGTGTGGGACCCTGAAACACCCGACCGAGGTTTCGTGAACGCTTTTCTCCCACAGAAGCCCCGGGATTTCCCTCCCGTCTCCCCTTGTTTGGACAGAACCTTGACTTTCTGTTCCCGCTCTGCTTGCAGTGACCGAGCTCCTGGATCTGGCCAGATCCAGCAACGTGCCGCGCGCCAAGATCCACCTAGAGCGTGCTCTGCACTGCCTGCACGAGGCGCGCGGCAACGTCCTGGTAAGAGCCGCTCTTGGGGCGTCATTAACAACACTCTGGGACGGCCTTTGTGTCCCTGGGGCGAGCTGGAGGCGCTCCCAGCTCTCTGCTCCATGCGCTGCCATCTGGGCTCTTAGCTCAAGGGCCCAGTTCTTGTGGCCACAGCCGCGTTAAGGGCTGCTGGAGCATGGACCTGCCTCGCCATGGGAATCATTCCCACACCTTCCCGCAGCCCAGGAGATCCTGCAGCGCTCTCACCAAGCGCTGACCAGGCTCAGCAATGTCTTTTTCCACTCACTTCCACAGGAGGCTCTGGAGCTGCTGCGCCAGGGGGGTCCCCAGCCAATGCAAGACCACCCGCTGGCTGGATACCATTACACAGGTAACCTCCAGCGTGGGGCTCTGCCCTTGCACAGCTGCTCTCTGAAGGAGCAGAGATGTCGAGAGGGCACTGAGGAGCTGTGCTGACATCTCTCTGGCTGCGCTCATCTCCTCTTTCACACCTTGTGGCTCATTCCCAGGTACGGACACCTGGACCCCCCTGGAGCAGCAGCAATTCGATATGGCCTTTCGCAAGCACAAGAACAATTTCCACCTGATACAGAAAGAGGTAAAGCCGCTGGATGGATTTGTTGTACGTGTGCGCCTTCAGGGCTTGCCTCCAGCATGGCCCTTACAGACTGCTTCTGTTTTGCTCACAACAGATTCCAACTAAGACCGTATCTCAGTGTGTGGAATATTACTTTACATGGAAGAAGAAGATCAGGCTGGGACGCAGAACTGTTCTCATTATGGGAGGGAAGACCAAAAGGCTGCTACACGAGGTGGAGGAGCCTCAAGAGAAGGTGCTCAGTTATTCCCCACTTGCAACTTTGGGGCAGCAAAGGGCGACTCCACTCCCACCACTCAAAATCATCCCCATTTCCTGCTGAGCTGCCTGTCCTCGCCATCCCATTAAAGCCTTTGGGCTCACTGGTGTTCAGAGGATCTCACCGGGGCAGGCTCGGGTTGACAGCTGGGTTTGTGCTGGATGTAACACGTTCCCATGGGCCCGGGCCCTTCCCAGAGATTTCAAGATCCATTTTCCCTTCAGCTCTCCACCTGTGGGGAAGAGAAGGAAAAAGAAGGAATATAGCAATAAACTCTCTCGGGTTTACAGACCGTTTGCAGCCCCAGGAAGAGGCGCCGTGTTCTGCCCCATGAGAAACTACCACCGAAGAGGCAGAACCGGTGCCAGGCTCCACACCAGCCCAGCGGCAGCAGCGACGGGAGTGGATTTTCCTGCCCTGAATGCCACAGGTGACTCTGGATTTAGCTGCTTCTGGAAACAAGCTGATTTGGGCTAAAATGGAAACTTCCTGAGTGGGGAGGCGGAGCTCAGGATTCCCCTCGGCCTTCCCATGCCTTCCCAACCAGCTTCCACCCCATCCATGGCCTTTGTTTAAACACCAACCTGCCCAAATCCCAGACACAGAAACTCCGCAGCTTGGCCTGAGGCTGATGCTGGAATTGTCAAGAGCAATGACAAATCCCCGCCTCTTTTCTAATTTCCAGGCTCTTTAACACCACTCGGGGCAGGAACTCCCATATGAAGATCCACCGCCGCCACCGAAATACACCAGTCCTGGGCTCAGCTCCTCCACCAGCACTGCAATACCACCAGCGTGCAGCAGCCTCGGTGTAGTTTTAGGTCCCCTCCCACCATTATTTCCCTCCTTCTTCTCCTTCTTATTCTGGTTGATGATACTGTTGTTGTTAGTCTAGTTCAGTTTTAGGTTATCCTGTAGGTGTTGTTATTGTTAGCAGTAGTAGTCTGATCTTATTAGTAGTGCTAAGATTTCGACATATATTAGTAGATAGTAGTAGGATTGTTGTACATTAGATAAAATTATTCTTATTACTATTAGTATTAGGTTTGTTATTATTAGTGATTATTATATTGTTATCATTATTATATTGTTATTATTATTATTCTTACATTTTATGTTGTTGGTTATTACTGGCATTACCAGTACCATGCCCTTGGACGTCAGTCATTAAAGTCTTCGTCTCTCAAGCCTTTGGGTTTCCCACTCTTACTGGGGGCAGGGGCTGAGCGAGAGGCAGGGGCTGGCAGTGGTGCTGACACTGAAATCCCCACCCCTGCACCATTCCCCATTCCTGCCCAGTCCCTGAGCACCAAAATCAGACCCCCCCAACAAACTCTTCAGCTTTAAGAGGGCAAAATGCACCCCAGGATGCGCTCACGCTGGTCATAGTTGTGTAAAAAACATCTCCTGAAGCAATAAAGCACAGTCCCAGGGACTCTCAGTTCCCCCCAGAAAGGTTCTCAGACAATTTTGGGTCTCTCTTCTCTAACATAACCAAACAAATGCACTTATTTGTTGTAGACAACTGGTAACCTAAGGAACTTTCACAGACTTATTTCAGAGCTCACAGCACATGTGTTGCCTCAATTCTGCGTGCAGCAAAATAACTTCTAGTTTCCTAAGAGCTCCAAAACACTCTCCTGCTGCTCTAGGGCTTGCTCTCATTGTTGCATTACCAATGGAGCATTTGCACATGAGGCAGGCACGGTTTACAGAGGAGGGAGGTTGATGTGAGGAACCTTCCCTTCCTTCCTCCTCCCTGGTTTTAAATGCACAAAAACACACAGAAAGAATTACTTCTACTCCAATCTCTGAAGTATTCATTGTCGTCTAGAACATATCCCACAACAAATCTGTTTGTCGCTTCAAACACAACTGAAAAGTACCATAAGCCACCACTGTGTTAGAGAAGAACTTATGTTCCTGCCAAAAGAGACAGGCAAATGTCCCGTGGTGGGAAATCCCAAACAGAGCCCAGATGGCTCTGAGCAGAGTAGAAAAGCAGTGACCTGGGCTCTGCTGCCTTTGTGATCCGTATTCACCAGCATGTTAGAAGTTACCCTTGTGTAAGTGGAAGCCACATGCTCGGTTACAGTACTGGAAGAGAGCCTGTGTAAAAACGAAAATGAGTAACTACTATTTCTGAAACTTGGGAGAACTTGTGACAGAAAGGTTTAGCACATACCCTATAAACTGACCTTCTTTAAACGTAGAATCCCAGACTGGCCTGGATTGGAAGGGACCTTAAAGCTCATCCAGTTCCAACCCCTGCCACAGGCAGGGACACCTTCCACTAAAGCAGCTTGCCCCAAGCCCCTGTGTCCAACCTGGCCTTGAAAACTGCCAGGGATGGGGCAGCCACAGCTTCTCCGGGCACCCTGTGCCAGTGCCTCAGCACCTGCACAGTAAAGAACTTATGCCTTTTATCTAAGCTGAACTTCCCCTGTTTCAGTTTGAGCCCATCATCTCTTCTCCTATCACTACAGTCCCTGTAGAACCCACATATATAAACCTCAACACAAATGGAACTCCTTAAACCAACAGTCCACACTACAATCTCTATGCCCATCTTTGGGGGGATGACTGTTCCACTGCGTCTGTTGGCTAAGACAGACTGAATACGAACACAACACCCCCAGACAAGGTCAAAACCATGAGCAGAACCTTTGCTTCTTGCACAGCAAAACTAACACCACTAATAGTCTGTAAGAGAAAGAACATGAGTAGGAAGAGCTGAGAGGCTTGAGAACTTTCTTGAGGAGTCCCTGCCCATGGCAAGGCGGTTGCAACTGGATGATCTTAAGGTCCTTTCCAACAGTAACTATTCTACGATGCTATGACTGGACAGCCATGCCGATTCTGACTCAACAGGGCCTCTGAACGTAGTTTTATGGCCTTCATGAGCTCAGGGACAAAGTTATTTAATTACCCAAGTAAGAAGCCAAGACAAAATGAAGCACCTGCAGGGTATTCCTGTCACAGTCATGCAGTAAAACATACAAAAACCATATGAATAGGCAAGGTACTACACATATACACAGACACACGTACGTATACACTTGAAAACCAACCCAAACACATACACAGTAAACAACTAGTTATATGTGAGAGCAGCTACATTAAATGACTTCATCCTGCTCTCACTCTTTCCAAGTATTTTCAAGTGCTTCCTTTCATACTGAACCCCGATGTTCAGTCTATTGTTACAGACTACAGTACCCCCCATACCAACTGGATTATTCCAGAGGCAGAATTCCAATTTGCAAGATAACGGGACAGTAAAGCACACATTTTTTGCTCCTTAGAGGTAGGTGTCAAGAAACACCCTTATCCCCACAGAATCCTGGTATCCATCTAGGACAGCTACTGCACTAAGATTCTGTCCTGAAAACCAAGGTTGCCTCAGGAGATAGCCCAGGCTGTGGGACCTCTGCTGATCTGGAAGGACAGGAACATGCAGAGAAACAACTGTCCATTTCCGTACCTCACAAGCACTAAAACTCCACAAATCCCCTATTTAGAGACTTCGTTGGTAAATGGAGGCTCAGACTTCAACAATTCAGGAATTAACGGAGGACATCTCCTTCAAAGAAGGAAATAAAGGCTTGTGGCTTGTATTACCTGGCACAAATGCATCAGGAGCTAGGTACCTTTTCCTCTGATCAAGTCACAGGCACATGTGCTTTGTCCTAAGAGAGGCCCAGGACCAGTACATCAAGGAAATCAGACACCTGAGGTTAGCTCTGACCCACAGAGATGCTCACTAAGGAATATGCTGGAATACACCCCAGTGGCCCTACCTACTTCTGGCTGACATCAGTGGAGTTTCCAAGTTTCCACAGGTTTCTGTAGAAGGCGACAAACTATGCAGCCAAAAAAGGCACTGAGGGACAATCAAGCTATGTGATGGCAGAGAAGTCAATGACTTCATACATGGCAGATGATGTTCCTCACTAGTTTCACCACAGAACTCAAATGAATGACACTGGAAGACGGTAAATTCTTACCTGTTCTTTTATTTCTGTCCACGTAACAATACTTGATTTCATAATCTTTAAATAAGTCATGGATTTCCTGAAAGAAAAAAGTACAAGTAACATCAGATAACTAACTCAATAGACCACAGAAGTGGATAAATCCATCTTCATTAAAAAAAAACCCCAAACCAAACAAAACACTTTCACAATAAACTAAAGATTTCACCACAGAAACCCTGTGAAACATTTGGTTTAGAGCTGGTTATCCTATTGCAGGAATCACATGAAAAACTGCCTTACTGAGTTTGATTCATTTACTTTTCTTACTATAAAGTCACATAAGCACAACAGGGTCTCCCATTGAGTGTCTTCTGATAAGGATAAATAACATCACAGCTCATTCAATACAAACCCCCCTCAATGTCTCTGAAGTACAGCTAAAATACCACACAGACAAGAAACACCAGCAGCATCACATCATGCAGTTCACTGCAGGCAGGCAATGCTGTCATGAGATACAACACTTGCTTCAGTTTCCTGAAGTGCTCAAGTTCACTTCAACACATTTTGCTCTTTCAATGACTATTCTTTCAACTAGCAGATAGACAACTGTGTCTTGAATACCCCCTGGAAAGTATCTTCTATCAGTTACTGCACAGATGCTCAATGAGGAACCCATCCCAAGAGCATTATTTACTCCTACTCAATGATGGGAAGAGAGTAGGAGTATGGGAGGGATGGTATAGGAGCAAGTGTAAGGAGTGTGCACCGGTTTGCAACAGCTCCTCCTCACAAGGAGCAAGGTGTATGCACATGTCTACAGTTCAGTTCAGCGGTGAGAAGGCAGAGGTGAACATTAATCCTCCCCAAGAAGAAACCACAAGTAGCAACCTGCATCGGTTTAGTTGGATAAATCCCACACACAACAGCAAAAGGCCATTTGTGTAAGCAAAATAATCCACTAGCTTTGTGCGAAAGCTTAACTGCAGCCCGTTCCCACTTGCCCAGCCTACATGTCAGTTTGCTAATACAATATACATAGCCTAAAGGTTAATGGGCTTCTCTTGACATAACTGACTTCGGTTGCTCCCCCTCTGGACTTGTTCCATACTGACACTCAAGGGAGAAAGCTCACATGGGAACGCTGACTTACGTGGTGGGACAGACTGCAAAGAGCTCTCTTCAGGCTGCCCTTCCTCCTGAACACAGGCTCTGGACTTCCTTAGGAACACAGATGGTGCCAAATGCTTGAGACAGAAATCTCCCTTGCCAAGATACAAACATTCAAGTTGAATGTTTGGGGCTCCTGAAGCCACCGCGCAACCAAATCACCTCAAAACCTGACTCACCCGCACTGAAGAGTTCGCTGCTCTGCTCCAAATAGCAGCAATTGGAGCAGAATTGTCCCACACCCCCGAGAGATCGCGGGAAAACACTTCCCTGACTGCGCACTGCTCACCTCAGAGGCAAAACCAGACGGGTTCGAAGCTTTTTACCTCAGCTTTGCCACAGACACCGGGTGGGCCCCAGGACCTTAAAGCCGCCCGGCCTGCATGGAGGCGGCGAGCACACAGGTGTCACCTCAGCACTCCCGCTAACGGCCCCCAGCCGCTGCTTCCCTCAGCAGCAGCCACACCAGTGTCATTCATTAGCGCACTCATTAGCGCGCCCAATTTGCACTCTTTGTGCAGAAAAGCGCGGAGCTCCTCACCCCTCTCTTTCCTCTCCTCGGCTGCCTTGGGCTGGGGCTGCTCCCTCACGGCCCCACAGGCGGGGAGGAGGGAGCCGAGCCCGGCCCGGCCTCACCCGCCGCGGGGAGAACGAGCTGGAGCCGCTCTCCGCAGGCACCGCGGCTCCCGGCACTAACAAAGAAGGCGTCGGGAGCAGGAGCCCGAGCGGACCCGCGGCGGGAGGAAGCGGAGCTGCAGCCCCACAGCTCCCCGGGGACGAGGAGCGCGGCCGCCGCTCACCTCACCCACACCGGCCCCGGGGGAGCGGCTCCCCCGCGGCTCCCGGCCCCGCTCCCTCAGGCGGCGGCGGCCGTACCTGGCTGCTGCTCTCGGCCGGCAGGTTCCTCAGCAGGATCTTGCGCCTGTTGCTCAGCTCCCGCCGGGTGCTCTCCAAGCGCTTCGCCACCTCCTCGGGGGCCAGCGGCGGCTCCGCGGGCAGCTCCGCGCCGCGCTCGGCTGCTGCCGCCATCTTGCAGAGCGAGCCGGGGGGGGGAGCCACGCTGGGGGGCGGGCGGCGGGGGAAGCCGTGGGGCACGGGGAGCCGGCGGGGGAAGGAGCCGGGAGCCGGGAGCCACGCCAGGCCCCGCCGCGCTCCCGCCACGCCCCAAGGCTGGGCCGCGCCTCCCGCCCGCTCGGGGGAGGCTGAGGGCGGCGGAGCCCCTGCAGCGGCGGCGGGAGCCGAGGGGCGGTGCGGGAGGAGGGAACTCGAGCGGTGCCCGCGGGGCTGGGGGGAAACGGGGCTCGGGGGGGAATTTCTTCCCCGCGGTTGTGTCTCCTGAGCGCAGGCGGTGGGAGGAGAGCTCGGGGCTCCACAGCAGCCCCCAGAGCCGTTGTAATGGCAGCCAAGGCCTGGGCACTGCCCTTCTCCCTCGGGCACGCACCGTGTGGCTCCCCCCCTCACCGTTTTACCTCAGGGTAATTCTGAGGTTTCCCTGCGGGCCTGCTGTGAACACCTCCCTTGGTGCAAGGCATGGAACCGGGGACTCAGCCAGCTTGGAAAAGCCCTTCAAGCTCACCCAGTCCAACCGTTCCCAGCCCTGCCAAGGCCACCACTGGCCCCTGTCTCACAGTGCCATGTCTACGTGCCTTTTGAATCCCTTCAGGGACTGTGCCTGCAGCCCTGCCCTGGGCAGCCTGTTCCAATGCCTGAGCACCCTCTGGGGCAGGAATTGTTCCTCAGCTCCATCTAAACCTACATATGGATTACATCGTTTTCCACAGGGTTCCCTGCATGCCCACACAATTGTGGTGCTGGTCTCTGAGGGTCCTTTACTTCTTCCAACAATCTCCATCACTTCTGGCAGCCTCTGAAGCACGCCCAGTAGATGCTCATACCAGTTTAACTGGTTCGTTAGCACCACAGACATCATAATCCTCCTATCCTCCTACTTACCAGTTAGTTTAACTGCAGCCCATCCTGCACACCTGCGGCTCCCAGATACTCCTTATCCCTGTGTCCTGTTCTTCTAGACTGCTTTTCTTAAAACTATGCCAACTCTAAGGATTTATCTGGTGAGAATTCTCAGTGTGTTCTCCAGCTGGACTCTGTATTTTTCTCTAAGTATCATGCACCTCAATAATTTTCCATTGCTACTGTTACAAAGCCAGCAAACGTAACATGACTTAAAACTGATTCCGAAGGGTTTTATACATTCCCTTTTGTGATTTTGTGCCCCCTCGTCTCACTGTGTGCATGTGCACAGAGGCTGTAAGCATCAGCTCCAGCTACGTTAGAATGGTCTAACAAAGCATTTAACAATAGGCTTGAAATTCCTCACTTAGGGAATGAGGAAACAGAATAAAGCATCTGACCCTGTTGACTGTTAGCAGTTTTTTACTGGCGGGGGAAGGAATGCCAAAGCAGAAACCCTCATTTGTTTGGTACACCATAAAAATAGATTAAAAAATACCCAAACCAAACCAGAAAAGAACTGGAGGATGACACAAAACCACTTCCCTTCCCAAATTTCAGGTTTAAAAGCAAACAAAGAAACAACAATGCCCAAATCCCGTTATCAAGTTACTCCAGATCCAAACCAGAGTCTACCCCTGCCCCCCCATGCTTACAGAGGAGCAGTTCAGTTCCACATAGTGCTAAATAAACTCAGACTAATTCTGCCTAGTGCTGTGCGATGGACTTCTGAGAAAAATACACCAAAAGTGCATTTTAATACTCATAGTTTTAATAACTGGAGATAATACATCCTCATTACATGCTCACAGTAACTAAATAGCAGAATGAACACAAACAGCAGAGAATGGGAAGCGTGTTCATTTAATGAAGAATTGGGGGGCTGCCCAGGATTTCAGTGATGTCTAAATGCAGTTATCTTCTGGTTTTGTAACCCTGCAGCCTCACTGCTTGGCTGATGACAGCTTGATCTTGAATAAAGTCCTCATCATCTTTATGAGGACAATCACAGCGCATCCCTAGCACCCAAATCCCCACCTCCTCACTGTGGCTGTGTTCTGCACTGCTCCTCTTTGCTCAGTCCCCAGCATTGGGACCTCAGAATGAAGCTGCCATAGACCTCTTCCTAATCCCTCAAATCCCACAGTGTAGGAGTGATTATGAATTTCAGACCCAAAACAGAGGACAACAATATTGATTAGGGCAGCTTATGAAGCGGTTCTGTTATGTGCTGGTGTGCAGGAGACTGAGGCTGGACCAAATGATGAGGGAATCTCTGTCACCAGGTTTCTAACATCCAACCTCTCAACATGTGCTTCCTGCAGCACTGGGATGGCACGGCCAGACCAAGCTTCCTCTCATCCCTCAAGGATGCACAATGATCAGCTCGTCCTCAAATCCCCAGGTGGGCTGTTGTGAACTTGTGAGAGCCTTATGTTAATGGCAGAGGAGACACCTTTGACTTGCTGCTCCTTAAAATATCTACATGTTCTAAATCATTTTAGCTCTGAATCTGGGAAGGAAAATGCTGAGAAAAAGAAGATAGCGAATGGCACAGCTGGACTGCACAAAGCAGAGGCTGTTGGCAACCCCTTAGCATATAAAACCAACTCTGTTGACTGGACTGGAGCTTGTTGGCTTTTAAGGAGGCGCAGTGAAGATGCAGACAAATCTGAGTTGCAGATTTATAAATACAGATCCGAAAACCCTGCCTTTAACTTAGTTTTCACATTACCCTTTTCAGGGAGAAGGAAGGGGAACAGGATGACGGTGAAGCAGCACGGATACATCTAACTGGATATGGCAAGGCATCAAGCTACGGAGTTACTGCTCTGTCCTAACAGGGAAAAAGCCAACAGGAAAAAACCAGGGTGATATTTGCTGTATACGCAGCCTCATTTCTTTCTCTAGACCACCAGGATCACCCCTGCTCATCTTCCCCTTCTGCCTCAGCTTTCAAATTGCAAAAGACACAAATATTGTAAACTGTTGTGATTTCCAGCCTTAGACAAACTTTTCAAAGGATTTCATGTAAAGAAACCCAAAGCATCACCAAGGACAGCATCCACATAGATTTTCAGTTACCCCCCAGTAGCTTCCAGGGACTCCCAAACACTCTTGAGGTGTCCCCAATGACTCCACTTGCCCTCAGTGTCACTTAGAAGCGTTCTCACTTAATCCCATTTGCTCCCAGCAGGGTTCTGGGTTGCCCTCAGGGGGTTCCAGTAGCCCCCAGTGGTACCCAGAGACGCTCAGGGGGTTCCCAGTTACTCCCAGTTGCTCCCAGAAAGGTTCTCATTACATCTGGGGGTTCCCAGTTACTCCCAGTTGCCCCCAGAAAGGTTCCCTTCCCATAGCGGTGCCCACAGGGGAAGGAGGAGCAGCAGGAAAAGGGACCCACAATCCTTCGCTGCTTATTCCTGCACCTGAGCGCTGTGGGATGTAAAACCAAGAGTAAGGAGGCAGTGGGAGGAAGATTCCTGTTCGGGGCTCTCGCTCGCTCCCTTCGTGCTCAGAGGAACTTTACTTGCTGTAGCAGTGCTTGTCATCCCCACTCCTGGAGAACCGAATGGGAAAGGACTTAAACCAAAGCTTGTACATCAGCGTTCACCATGTGCAAGTGCTTGAGGACATGGAACCCCCACAGAACCTCCATAAAACCCAGAGGAACTCCCAAAGAAGCTCTAAGAACCCCCATGGAACCCCATAGAACCCACATGGAACCCAGCAACAGAATGGAACCCAACAGAACCTGTTGCCTAGCAACGGGAGACTATAAATGCCCTGCAGAGCACAACTGGCCAGGGCAAGAGATGAGAGAAGCCAAGGTGCAAGGGAGCAGAAAGAGGTGGGTGCTGACCCCATCCTTCGGGTGCTTTAGGAATGACCGAGAACACCTCAATCAGCCTCACCGGAGCTGCTGCTTTGGTCAGCGCTGTGCAAGTGCCGCTGGCTCAGCCGCAGCCAAGAGCTCCGGTGCCTGAAACCCTGGGATCTGCCTTGACTCTTTTAGGGAGAACAAGGGCCTGTGGGGAGGGGACAGGGGGGAACGGCTTTAACCTGCCAGGGGGGAGACGGAGCTGAAACCTGAGGCAGAAGTTCTTCCCTGGGAGGGTGGCGGGACACCAAAACGGGTTGAACGCAGAAGCTGTGGCTGCCCCATCCCTGCACCAGGGGAAGGTGTCCCTGCCCCTTGCTTGCAACTGGAGGAGCTTTAAGGTCCCTTCCAACCCAAACCCTTCCATGATCCCCAATCCCCCAAATCACACCCAAATCACCCACTGACAGGGACTTGCTGGTACTTTCGACAGCAACGGAGGCACTGAAAAAGGTGATGCTGGGCGTATGGACCCCACGATGCAGGATGGGCACAGAACCTGGGGAAAACCATGGCATTTTCCTGGGCAGTTGGAGTTTTCCAATGCAATTTGAGGAATTCCTAGGCGATTTCAGAAATTACTGGGTTTAGTGTGCTTCCAGCACTCAGAGGCCATCCCAAGCTTGCTTCTCTATGTTCTCAGGCACCTCCAAGCTGTTCCACTCCTTTTCTGCCATCAGCAGGGGGTCAATGGTTTATTTGGATTTGTTTCTTCTAGGTGTCGTGTGTGAGAAAGAGCCCTAGTGAGCAAAACAACAGCCTTCCTCTTCCTCCTCCAACAGCACCAGTGATTCCATCCACGTCTTTGGGCTGTGCTAGGTACGAAAACCCTCATGCCTGCACTCAATGAGTAGTAGGAAGGGAGGGGGATCCAGGGACCTGTGGTCGTGTCCTGCGAGGTCAGATCAGATCCACAGGGTCCATCTCCTGAAGCTTCCAAGCGCAAAGGGTGAAATGGGGGGAATTTGGGGTGGCAGTTGGTGATTTGCAGTGGTGAGGATGTGCTGAAGGCTGAGGGCCCGTCTTGGCAGAAGGACTGCAATGGTGAGCGGGTTTTCCTCTCTTCCAGGTGGGATGGACCCTGCAGACTCTGGGCTCTGCCTGATGGAAGATGTGACCAGCACTGGGCCGTGAGTGATTGGACCGCACCAGGAACACCACAAACCTTAGGGAAAGGGGCGCTGAGGG